TTTATATTTATTCGTTATACTTTTTCCGACATCATATTTTTGGGTGGTTGACTTTGACAGAGTCAAAATTGGTTTAATTGACCTTTATTCAAAAAGGTTCTCACATTTAATTCATATTATTTATTTCCATGATTTATTTCAATAAATCATTTCAAAGTTCACATTATAAACAATTTCTTCATTTATTCTTAATTTGGGTGTGTACTCAGGTTCCCAATCAAGATCACACAATAAATCAACATGTTAGATTTATCTCTATGAGATTTATCCCAATTATGTTTATTGGATATCAATATATATATATATATATATATATTTTATTTTAGCCCAAAGCCCAACAACAATTTATTTTAATCAAAACAAATTTTGTTTAATTGAATATTTAATTCAATAAATTTTAGGGTATATTTTGGGGCGTTACAAGTGTATTCGTCATATCACTAATATTCATCACACAATAGTTAAATTACTTATTACTAAAAACATGACAAATTATACACATAGTCGTATTCTAATACGTTTGGGATTCTATTGATACACGCGTGTTTTTTTTAAAGATCGGTATCATAAAACATCCTTTTGGTTTGATGGAGAATCATGAGTTAAAACAAGTTCTCAATGATTTGATATATAAAAAAATGGAGTTCAATCCTTTCAATATTGATCAAGTGAGATGCTTTAAGTGTGTAATTAACACAGTAAGTTTGAATATTTCAATGATATAAGTCACAAGATACGAATATAGCGTTTGCGAATTATCGTGGCAAATAGTAGGTTTTCATCCTTTAATGTTTCACTTTTTTGAAGTTACTCAAGGGGTCATTGTCTTAGGTAAATAACCATTTTGACTCTTGGTCTCGGATTTGAATGTATTTCAGGACAATGAGCCTAACTATTCATGAGTCTCAATATGTCATGTCGTCAGCAGACTGTAGTATTGGCGAGTACATTCTTGTCTGGAGCAAATCTACTTTCCTGTACGTTTTCAGGCTGGTGATAATTACTTTTCAATCAATGGTCCAGTTTCGGAGTCTATATATATATCAAATTGGGCAAGAGCGTCTCACATTCTCACATTATGGAATGAACTTCTCGAGCTCTTTCTAATACCATAAGATTCGTTGGTCTACTTGGTAGTCATGCTCTTGGTAGCAATCCAAGGTTTATGGCTATAGCGGTTGATCTAGGACGTGAATTGTTAAGGAGAAAAATCAGGCTTACCTACGGAGGAGGCAACATTGGCCTTCAAGGAGCTGTAGCTTCAACGGTCTATAATAATGGTGGTAGAGTCAGAGGTTTCATACCAGGGTATATAGCAACACGACAGGTTTACGGACCTACGTACGGTGTAGAGTACACCGTCTCCAGCAATTACTATAAGTATTTCGAGATGAATCATATTGTGGAAGCCTTCATTGTACTTCCTGGAGGGATTGACACTATCGAAGGTTTGTTCACCTTAATCTCATGGGCATCTGAAGGGTTGCACAGCAGACCTATTGGTCTCTTAAACATTGACGGTTATTTCAATAACCTAATCAAGTTTCTAG